CAGTGGAAAAGCGTTGCAACGATGAGCGATACATATTTTATGAATGTAGAAGATTTTCCAGGAAGAAATCCTATTTTTGAGTATAATTAAAATCATTGGAAAAATTATTGCGCTGCTTAATATTTGTTGATTATGGAAGTGTTTTAATTTCACTAGAAGGTTTCTGTTTTGAATAAATATCACAAAATTCAGATGTGCTTCGTTTTATTGGTGATTTATTTGCTTTAAAATAAAGCAAATAAATGCTCACTAATTTTTTTTATAATTATCTGATAAAGATTTAATTGATTTAATTGATAATGAACGATGGTCATAAATTATCATGAAATATGGTCAATATTATTACAAAAAATCCGGAAATGATATCGTTTCTTTGCTGCGAGTTTTTGGTACTTTCGAGTAAAGAATAGGATACAGAGAATGTTTGCAAAAAGTTGCCTGATATTGCAGTGAAATCACATATAAAAGATAGGAAAACTTTCTTCTCTTCACTTGCTTAAATAAAAAATGGTATTGAAAAAGCAAGGAAAGCTTGCATTTGACCTTTGATAATCGATATGTGCGAATTTAATGAGCTGATAACAATGAAATAAGATTGGAGAAAAATAATTTAAACACATTTTTTCACCTTTTCAAATGAAATTAGAATATTGATGGAAATCTTTGCATGCATGCGATTTATTAAAACAAAAATCTTCGCCTACGATTTTCAGTTCGTTTCCATTCCCATTTTTCGGCTTTTCTTTTAGTCTATTTTGTTATCCTTTTGACTCAGTGGATTTGTGGTCACGTTTTGCAGTGTCGAAGCTTTGGTTCCATTCCGTTGAAGCTTTTCAGAAATCGGATGATATTACGATCCATGCTATATTTCTATTATGGGTCCCTAGTAAAATTTCTTTGACCCAACAAGTTAATCAGCCTGGCCTAATGAAAAATTGTATGATAGGCTAAATTTAGGACAATAAACTAAATTTTGCATCATGTAGTTTCAATTTATTAAATGATTCACTCTAATAACAATGATAGGCATTAATACCACTGTTCCCCACTTGTAATTTCTCAAATTATGCATTATTATACGCACGAAAAATGATAGCAATTCAAAGGCAAATGTTGATCCTAAAAAATCAAACTAAAAGCTTCAAGTTTTACGACCAAATGAGAAAGACATAATTCTTCATAATTTTTCATAATTTTTCATTTTTCATAATTTTTCAACTTTTCTTTCAATCTAAAGAATGTTATGCATCAAAGCCTTTTAATTTTATTAGTTCATCATTGAAAAAACATGCAAAATTTATTCATATTTCCTTTATTGGAAATTTCCATTAAAATTTCCTTTATTTTAATAGACTCGTCTTGTTATTTAATAATGGTAATGGCGATAACGGCTTAAAAATATTCGTTGTATATTTAGAAAATTGAATTAAATAATTAATACGTTTTAATTAATACGATTCGCCAACAAAATTAGTTGGTTTATAATTAATAATTAAATTTTTATGCAGTGTCATTATGAATATTACTGAATTAATTGAATAACAATAGTATTTGTTTGAGCCAATTATTTCAAAATAACTTATCTAATATAGAAACATAGAGGAATATAAAAAATAAAAATAAATGAAAACAATCAATAATGATAACAGCAACAATATTTATTAAATAAAAATATTAGTAACATTAATAATATCAATGACCGAAATAATTTATAATGTTTGTCTGGAAATTAATTGAAAATTTGCAAAATTTGCTTTGAGAATTCACCTTATATGCTTTTGCTTTTAATTTTCAAAAAAACATTTATTCAG